TCTGTAAGTTTGTTTGAAAAGTATATTTTATGGACATGTACAAACCGAATTAAAAAAGGTCTTCCGTCTCACAAAGTTGTGTGCCGTTATCAATTAAGAAGAAGCATTTTCTGTTATTACGCATACCGAGTTTCATAAACATATTTTAAAAGTCCACATTCAGCAAAATAAATATTGCGAGTCGTCCAATTATCTGAATTAAAAAAAAACTTTTACAAAAAGCCCTTGAAAAGGCGGATTATGTCTCGTTTTAAATAAATTGGCATTTGACTATGTTTTTAATTCCCTAAAAGAGGACCTGGCAGAATTAAAGCGCGGACGCGGACATTATATTACTCTGCTGCGATATTCTTTTAAAGCCTTAACTGAAACCGTTTCAGTTCCAAAAGCAAACATATCTCGAAATAAATAAAACAGCGGCGCAGCATACCACACGGTGCTCGCGAAATCCCTTAATCAAAGAGAATGATTTTAAATCGGCTTAACGAGAGTTCTGGCATGTTCGTACAGGCTGTTACTGGATGATGCAGATAGTTCGTAACTTAACTATATGCTAAAGTACGAACACCATGCAGGAAATTTGCATATGGAAAGCGGAATTTTCTTACTTTTAATCGAGTTATAGGTACAGTACGCGCATAATTCTATTAGTTTATAATTCTCAGAGGTTTAGGAAATGAAATAACAAAAGTATAGGAATGTAGTAACAAACATAGGAGAACTATTATAAAGAAACTTAGTAAACTGTTAAAAAATAAAGAAATTTAAACTCAGCAGTTCCTTGTAATACATTTAAATAATAGTTGTGTATTTTAAATAGAGTTGCAAATTACAATTACAACTAGTCTTGCAATATTTGTTGAGAGAATTCCAAGAAAAGAATAAGCCAACAAAGTTCTACTATAGGACTTACTGTAACAATTTACCGCAGCAAGGGCGTGCCTAGAAATTTTCCACGTTATTTTCAGATTAAGCACGTTATTCTTTGACTGGGAATTACATTCCTTTCTTTTATTTTTCACCTCCATGATTTAATAAGAAATTGCACTGAAAATGCACAGGACGATACACTTACGAAGAAACATGCCTTTGTAACTGCAAAACACAATATGCACTGCAAGCTGCTACGGTGAACGCCACGCCGCCAATGTCTTTCTACCTCGGGTATCGAATGCGGTTAGTTCCAAGAAAATGATGCAGGGACGTTCTTGGAATTCTATCTTAAAGAATATCCTACGGACTGTAAATATATTATTTTTCAGCGATTATAGAAAAACTGTCCCGCGAAGCAATAATATTAAAATTTAAATACGTTCTATCTTTTCCAAAACTTAGTCTGTATGTTACTTGTTACACATGCTTGGTCAAGGTGTAGGTATACAAAATAAGTAATTTCCCAAAATGCCGGAATATCTTTCTTAATACTTTTTTAAAGAAATAGGATGTTTTCCCATGCTGAAACGAAAAATAAATGAACTATTTGAAAGTATGTATTTTTTTTTAATAATTAAACCCTTGGGCTAAAGGTTTCATCAAGAAGTTAATTTTATCTTTATAACTTATTCGACTAACTAGAAATACCTCACTCTGAGAAAATAGATAATAATTATTTATAATTCCTATTTTACAAAAAATATGTTATCAATTTTTTTTTGTTTTTTCACAGAAATATATTATACGATGCTTTATTACTACTCACCTCGTTGAGGATGTGCGGACAATAAATATTAAAATTCATGAAAAACTGGAAATACACTTATTTGTCACCATTCAAGAATCTAACTAATTTATTTGTTGTTTCATTATTAACATGACATGCCAGTTCTGTCAATCTGCTAATTTTAGATTTCTTATATTTTTATTTCTTCGATTTTAACACATATATACATATATACAAGGTGATTCAGGTTCTATCGATTCCTGAAGTTGTCCAGATTAAACGAATCACCCTGGATAGAGCAGTGAATGTGGTACCACGAAACATTTTTTTTTTTTAATATCAATGTAAAACGGTTATTATTAGTCTTTATTTATTTGGGTGTAAGAAATTGATATACAGGTTGTTATTTTCTTAGGATCCCCACAAGATAAAAGATTTTTTATTTCTTTAAAAATTTTAGTATCCACTATGAATTTCTTGTGTTCAATCTTAATACACTAAAATTCAGGACATGTTCCAGAATTCCATTCTTACATTTAAAAGAACGTTTTCTGGTATAAAAATAAGAAAAAAAGTTTATATGAGCGTAGCTCCTAAAATATTTTCAAAGGGGACTGTGGATATTGCAAATATTGCTCCAAATATTAGTTTTACATCATTTCTCTAGAATAATCGTTTCTCTCAATTTCTCGGAAAGATAGATTCTATCTAGGTAAGTTGGTATAAATCGCCTGATTTTTGTCTGAAATCTAGTGGTGGATTTGCTTTCTGGGACGCTCTGTATAGAAAACAGTAAAGCAAGGCAACTCCCATGTAACTATGGGCGAAAACACTTTTCAAATTGGTTACTGTCCTCTTAAAAAATGTTGTCAGTGTATGACGAATTGACCGTCATAACTCAGCTTTCCAAATATGCAGAGAATTATCGGTCATTTGTGTCGGAACAGACTGCGCAGCCCTGAATACTTTATAGGAATACTTTATAGTAATGAATTAATCTCGACAGTTTGTCGAAATGCCCATTTAGTTGGAAGTGAGTCATAAAATTTACTCTTGCAGTAAAGTCAAAGTCCTTTAAATCTTGAACCAACTGGGTATTGTGTGGGTGCAGATTCAAAACATTCACTTTCCACTCACTTCCGATGTTTATGACTGATCACGATCTCAACCCACTTTTAGTTGTTAAACAAAACTTGATACATCTAGGGAAAATATGTAATTTTTAACACTGAATAAATATAACTTTCAAAAACTTTTCAAAAAGTTTTCCCAATGTTTAAAATTACTTGTCCACCTAGCTATTAACGTAGTTAAGAATATAAAGATATTTTTTTTAATTTTGTGTACCGCTCACCTCCAATGCCGAATTCGCTAACAAAGGAGATACAGCAAAAAAATATAGCCCAAATGAACAGAAATAATTGCATGCCTCCAACTGAATCTTACCTTTTTTTGCTAATTGTAGTTTTTAACCCTTATATATAATATTTAAAAATTATAATTTTGCATACCTCAAACAAAACTCTCTAAGAAATGCTGCGAAGCGACGCTTTTCGGCACACTCAAAAACTAATAGGTAATACTGTTTGTTTATTGATATACATTATCAAAGCAAAAGAAACATTAATGTCAATGTAGGATATGTTCAAAATGCTCGCCGCGAACGTCTTGGTAACATCCTAATCTTAAATAGAAATTTCTTCTAACGTTATTCAACATCTCAGGCGTGGCCGATTTAATCGCAAGCGTTATTCGTCTTCTAAAGTCAACGAAGTCGAGGGGTTTAGTTTTGTATACAATACTTTTGACATATCCCCATAATGGTGTCAGATCAGGGGATCGTGCTGGCCATTTCATCGATTCTCACCTCCCTCCACCGATTTGGAAATATTCGGTTGAGGTACTGCCGGACATTGATTTGGTAATGGGGCGATGCTCCATCTTGCTGAAATCATATCATATTCGCTGGAACTTGTGGGTTTGCTGAATCAGAATATAAGTTTATCAAAGTTGGCACGGCATAATTTTGGAGCAGTGCTATCGCCATTGCCAAATTGACATCAATGAGAAAGGGACCCATGATATGATCTCCAACAATTCCTGCCCAAATATTAACCTTTTCAGGGTATTGCATATGTTCTTCATATGACCGTGAAGTGTAAAGGTGCTCAGACAACAAAACATGTTCTAATTGAATCACATTGTTATTTAACATTGCCATCATTTGTTCACAAAAATACATTCTGCTATAAAAATCGTCTTCCATGAGCTCCTGAGTTCGTTCCATTTTATAGAGATGCATTTTATTTTCTTTTAATATTCAAATAATCGATGAATGGCTAACGTCGAACATTGGGGTCGCTTTTCGACTAGAAGTATTGCATTGGCATCTGCTTTTTTTGTCTACCTTACATGTCGAAGCTCGCGAAACTGCTTTACTATTTTACTAATTGTCCCTTGGGATATAGGTGGCAAATTTGGAAATCTTTCATTAAGTAAGCGAGCAACTTCCATTTGTGTGTGTTATCTCCATAACCAATCTGAAGAATTGTTATTTTGAGCATTTCTGTTAAATGAACCATTTTTCTGATATGCAGTTAACGAAATTCAATCGACTATAACACTGCCTTTTTTTATTTCATATCAGTAAAAAGAAATGCTGAAATGGTTTTTGCTTACTTTCTCATTATCAAGAGCTAAATGGGAAATAAGTATTGAGTCTGTTGTAGTGAATTTCTGTAACAGAATAATTTTCTTTTTTTAATGTTAATTTTTGCTGTAAATCTGAAAACACTTAATATTTCCGAAACAGTTTGAGATAGGTATAGGACATTTTACATTAAATATGTCTAGAATTTTTTGAAGAATCCAAAAATTGAATAATATACAGGGTGCATTTAAAATAAGAAATTTGGTATTGACCACCGTTAAATGACACACCTTGTATAAAAAGTTTTTGTTGAAAAAAAAATCGCAACTAAAAGACCAATTGACGTGTGCGAGCGTTTTTTCGGACACGTCTCCATTTATTTATTATTGAATTTATTCCATTTGGCTGTGTTTAAAAAAATCTTATCAAATGGAGTCAATATTTTTCGACGCCAGAAATCTTAGTAATCAAAAGATATCCAACCTCATAGAGAACTAATAATAGAATAAAAGTTTTTTTCAAAAAGGTAATTAATATTCATAATAATTATTAGAAAGTTTTTGTTAAAAACAAGACAGGTACTAGTTTCGCGAAGATCCTTGTTTGTTTCACTTCTGAGTTTATAAAATCTTTTTCTTCTTAAAATATTCGTTTAATTCAAACCGATAATATACATATTTTTTTTATTTCAGATTGACCCCAAAGTAGCCTTTCCTAGGAGAGCACATCCAAAGGTAAGTACTATACTTTAGTATTAATTCGGTCGTTTTATGACAAATAAAAAAATTAAAATTAATTAAAGTTCAGGAAGTTAATTTAATATTAGAATTAAAAAGTTATTCGATTGTATTACATAAATCTACTGGACAGTACTGGACCGAATGTCATCCATATAGCTTCGGAAATGTTCAAATTGAAAATGGCCTAGAATGAATATGGTGGTATTATATCTACAAAATTTATGTGAAAGGTCCTCCTAAATTTAACACACTGTGTTTAAATTTAGGATAATATACAAAAAACATGTCTGCGTCTAGTACGAATATCGTGGCATTATTTACAAAATTTATGTGCAACGTATCTGTAGCAAAGTTATGTCTAATTCTAATGAGCACTTTCTTACCAGTATAACAAGGAGTACCTGTAATAAAATTATCGCGTTCCCAAAGTTTCCGCCGTAATTCCTTCCCACTTTTACAACACTAAAGCATGGCGGAGCTTAAATTCTACAATGTTATTCCTGCAGAAGATTTATGTTGGAGTTGACTTTAGTTATTTTGTTCATAAACGGAGCTTACTTAATCGGCGTCCTTAATTGAAATTTGGCGTGAGTTTTCTCGTTATAATACTTTGAAGGAAATGAACTGGTTAAGTCCGCTCTACCCTTCCTTAATGTCATGTCGCCATCACCGTACAACGGATATATATTGCAAAATGTGCGCAGTAACTTTAATGCTTTCAGTAACGTAGGTATACCAAACACTTAAGGGAGTGATAATGTTTTTTTGTTTTTATTTGTTTGATAAAAGCGTTGCGCATATGCAGGAATAGTTTTTAGGGGTTGTTAAACGCAAGTATTTTTTTAATGTTGCTATTAACGTTTAGTAGAAAGAAACTTCTCGGTAAACTTCAATTAAAGAAAACTACTTAAATTAAACAGGGTCGTGCATCTTGTCTTTTGGAAAACGTTACAAATAATCAATACTAAATATATGGGTGCAGACTTTTACTTTAATAAAGTTCCTCTAGCATTAAAATAGACATATTAATTTTTTTGTGGAAGAATATTATTTTCTATTGTATGAACATATTTGTGCACTTAGAAAACGTTATTATCGAAATCAAACTTTTACTATACTACGATAGATTTTAGTTTATGTCTTTTGTTTTGTTTGTTTTCAACTGCCTTTTTATTTTTTACACTTGCACACTTGTTTTATGGAGTAATGTCGAGTATGGCATTCTTGTGTCTCTGTATCACTGTCTGTGACGTGCTTTGTTAAGGTATTAACGTTTTTAAGTATGAGGCCTCCTTTGAGAGCCTGTAGGTGAAGCTTTACGAATTAATTTAATTCGTCCCTTTGGGGAAGACCTTTAAACTCGTTTTTTTAGAAGTTCAACTCAGTTTTGTATTTAAAAAAATAAGATTTATTAATTATTTTCACTACAATAAATGCAAGTAATAGTTTGCATACGTATGTAAGTATATAAAAATTTGGAGCGTACAACGTGCACTGGCCAGACTTCAATACTGCTTATTGTCCCGCATGGTCTTCAAGCTGACGTTCGTACGCCCTGGACGCTGACTCCGCAGGATAGACTGGTGTCGGTGTCCGATTCAGTCTTAATTTCGATTTTGGAAAATCATTCCTCCATGAACTACGGGCTTCTCCAAAGGGGTACTGAAAATTATTTATGTTAGTATTGATCCTAAGGTTGTTTTGATGTATGAGTTTTGGAATTTTCGGGCTTCTAAATTTTCGTCGATTTTGGAAGGGTGGTGAAAAGTTTCGCGCCTGCCTACGTGGTTGGTAGCTTCTGTGCGATGAAAGGCCTGCGCCATCTGATACGGCTAGTGACGTAGCGGCAATCATAGCTTTATGGTACCTTGGCAGGAAAATTTCGAAAGGTGCGTGAAAATTTCGGCACGATCCTGCACGGTTGCGGGAACTGTGCCTTGTGTGATGCTTTTTGAAGGTTTGATGAAAATTTTCGAAACATGGGCGAATTTCGTTCGTTAATAACAAATGCATATTAGTAAGCTGCACCCAGTGTACTTAAATGTCAAATGTGCCTTGCTATAGCAAACAGACATGCGAGAAAGATAGCCTGATATATATGCACACGTAAAACAAGGATAAACAATAAACAATGCGTCTTGGTTTTATTGCAGCGTTGCCACTTGCTGAGAAATTTCATTGGATACAGTTTATTTGCGTAACAGGGAACTGAAATTTAAAGCTAAGGACTACCATTATATATTATACTGACAATTTTGTCATGTCCTATTTCCATTAAATTTAAAAAATCAATGCTTATTCTTTTACACAAGCCTTATTGCTCTCAGTGACTTTATTGCATTTGTCATTTTCAGTTTTTTCTGTTGAATATATGTATAAATGTTCTATTTTTGGAACCAGTGAATTTTTTAGTGGGGATTAGTTAAGGGAAATGAACATAACTGGATGCGTTTTCTAAAAACCTAACTGCTATTTCTTTTTACATTCTTAATACTATGTCGAAGAAGTCGATATTGCTCTTTCCCCTTCATATTCGCGACATCATGTAGTTCAGAAGTAAATTGGAGTCAAATGTAACTCACAAATGTTACTGTTTCATTATTTTTGGAACAAAAATCAATCCGACGGTCTTAGGGTAGAGTGATCTTACAAATTTCCGCGTTCTTTAATATAAATCACTGAAAATTTTACGTTACTACTTCAGCTTTTTCATTCATATATGAGTATATATTTCATTATACATATTTTTCTTCATTTTCCTTTAAATATATTAATTACTGTGTTATCTGGACTCTATTCGGCAAATTCCTTAGTATTTTAGAAAAGAAAAAATAGACTTTTCAGTCTTTTATATTTTTATATGCGCTAATGTGTAACTAATATAATTAATTGTTCTAGTAATTCTTCTACCTTACGTTTCCAAGATTTTTCCTGTGTTAAAAAGACGTTTGTTAGTATTTTTGCACAGTATTTGAAACAATTATTTATTAATTTGTGCGTATGCTTCTAATTTGTATTAAATGTTGCATTTTTAGGTCTTAAATGCAGTATGCATTTAGATGATTCTTAAGATTATTAGAAAGTATGATCTTTTTTTATTTAAAAGTAAGAGAAGAGTATTTGGTTGCACATTGATTAGGTATTTTACTCCTTTACTTTTTTGTTCACATTTTTTCTCCACACATTCTCAAAAGAGCATAAAGAAAGCTATTGTATTTTACGACAATCGCAAAAAAGCGTCTTATGGCTCTATATCTAAATTCAATAAGAAATATATGATATTGCGCTATTAATTTTTAACTTACCCATGCAATCTAATACCATTACGCAAAGATTACGGTTGGAAGGCTCATATTTTTCCCTTATCTGTACACTTTATCCCAATGTTTAGACAGACTGCATAAATTTTCAGGTTTGGTATCCACATCTAAATTTATTCCAGTATAGCATTCTGTCGAGCAAATTTCCCAACACGAATGCGTATACGCCACATATATATCCCAGTTTTCCTTTTCCCTTTCTTTGGTTTTAAAGCCATAGTTTGCGTGGTAAGTTCCGGCCCCGGAGCGATACGTACCCGGATAAAACGGGCGTATTTAAAAAGATGAATAGGGCCATTCCGTTGATTCAGTTATCTGGAGGTCTAGTTCGAATCTCGGTTGGCCGCGAACAGTGGCGGTCAAAAGCAGCTTTAGGTTTATGCCATTTACAGTTAAAAGTGTTACAATTGATGGCCTAGTTGGAAGCAAATAGCACAATGTTTAGATATTTTAAACCCGGTAACAAAAAGTAGTAAAGTCCATGTCTCCCTCAAAACAAAGTTTGTTGACACAAAACACCTACTTTTAAACTACTTTAAAAATCTTTTTTTTTTCATATTAAATTAAGTAGAATTAAAATACTCCACATGCAGGGTGCGATTCTCATTGTCAAAGTGAAGAACAGAAAAAAAATAAAAGTAACATTTTTTCCTAAAATAATTGCCAGGCGATCTACGATCCTTCAAAATGGACAACAAATTGGAACATTTGGTTATTCATTGAAGAACCATTGAAGATATGGACTTCGGTTGATTTTTATCAAAAAATAACTTGAAGGCAGATATAATATTCCCACTAGACAAATAAAGTCAAATCTGGAAATTAGGAATTAAATAATAAAAATAATATCCTATTCAGAAAGACTGATCCGTTGTCAACCTATTACTCGATTGGCGTTTCTTTTACTGTTAGGTTGCACTACACAGAGCATCTTTATGAAAGATTTTTGAACATTTTCAGGGCAGTCGTCCAACTAGGAAGCCATTGGAATAAATGAACAATGAACAAAAATGTGTGTCAGAAGCATATAATGCGCATAAATTCGTATTAATTGCACCATTAATACGAAATTGGACTGCATATCAAGGTTTGGATTGTTAGTGCCGTAAGGTTATCCTTTGCTACATTTAACTCCGTGTAATTGGGCAATAAACTACAGTGGAATGTTATTCATAAAATGATAATGGGTATGATTTGTCTTTATGAAATGAAAGCTACCCACAAATCAATTTTTATTAGGCGGAACAAGTCTGACTTGATGTAGCCATGAAGCTAGGAACATTAGAATAAATGACAAACATTCCATATCCATGTTAGTGGTTATTATGAAGAACGCAGTTGTACTCCAGGGGTCTATAATTTCAGGGAAAGGCTTGTTCCATATTAAGAGAGAAAGCGTAGGCTCTGCCGTGACGTTAGTGGCTAATTTGTACCAAATCACTTTCTAGTTTGACAGCAATTGCGGTTTCATTCAAAATGCCACTGAAAAATATGTAATTTGAAAATCACTAGTATACTTTTTGTGTAATTACCAATGTTTATAGGAAAACTGCCTGTTTAACATTATTCAGAGAATTTATGTGGCTTTAAATTATGCCGTAACAGAAGTTGGCAATGATCGGAGTGATAAATTTATGGGAAGGGTAGTATTTTTATGTACCTAATGCCTACTTC